GGGGGGGGGCCAGTGATCCTCTCCCTGCCGCGGCAGCCAGCACGGAAAGACTTCCCTCGTTCTCCAGAGCTTTGCAGTGTGGCGCAGGCTCTGATGCTGACAGCCTCGGCATCCTCTCACCCTTCCTCGCGGCAGTGCTGCCGGCTGCAGCGGCACTGTTGCAAGGCAGCAGCTCAGCGCTGACGTGCCAGCAGCGCCTTTGTCTCCCGTGCAGGGAGAAAAGCTTCAGGCCGGCCTGTTTTGTTGCCTGACGGAGGCTGTTCCACTTCAGCTCTCCCGGATTAACCGGCATTAGTCGCCGATGGCATGAAAGCATCAAGCAGAGCTGTTTTACACAGGGGAGCGTGTGAAGAGAGTGGGAGAACAAAAGCTGTTGCTCCCACATCAACCCTGCTGTGGAATTGGGAAGCACAGCTCAGCGCAGAGCTGCGGGGCCGGGAAGGTTGGAATAGTGCAGCAGCAGCTCCCTGCACAGCTCCAAGACGCAGCTGCAAGGAGGGCAAGCTCAGCATCGTGGCTGCTGCTCTGCGATGGGAAACCTTCAGGTCTGATCGCTCAAAGCAAAACCAGAGCCCTGGCAGGGAGGACCATGCCCCGTGCCGGCTGCTGGAGGCACTGGGCTCCCAGTAAGCAGGTGTTGTTTACTGGGGTCACACTGGGCAGACGCCTCCCCACTGCCCAGTGCAGCTGCAGGCTGGCCCTGCCACCGGGTGCACGCTCTGCCCGGGGTGCAGGCAGCAGCCTCCCGGCGTGGAGCTCGTCACCCGCATGCTGGGGTGAGCACTGGCCTCTCCCGTGGGAGCGCAGCCTCACCCCGTGCTTGCATCCCACCCAGGTTCCCCGGAGGAGGGTCCCCGCGTGGTCTTCATGGTGGACCTGTGGCACCCCAATGTCGCTGCCGCGGAGCGCCAAGCCCTCGACTTTATCTTCGCCCCGGGACGATGACGGCGCTGCCCGGTGTCATGGGTTTGAGGGCAGCCGGCGGGCGGGCGGCCATGCCGGCTCGGCTCCGCAGTCAGTGCGGCGGGACGCCTGCCACACTGGAAGCTTCCTCCCAGCACACGGCCTTGGGGTCCTCCCTCCTGGGGGCTCTTGTAAATGGAAACTGCGACGTGTATCAACGCCCATCTCTTTCCTTCCATCGTTGGCTTCAGGGATTATTTTCCAACATGACAGCGCATTGCCTTCCCTCCGTGGTTAGCTGCAGCACCACTCTCGTACGTGTTATGTTGCTACTGTGTTTTGCGGTGTTCAGAAGTAGAGTAACAAAACCAAGGGTGTTTGTTTGAATGTAATAATGTAAAACTTCTCGTGGTCATCAAAAGAACAACACACACACACCCCCCCCAAAACAGCAAACCAGCCAAACAGCCCAGTGCTGCGCTCAGCCTGCCCCTGTCTCAGTTGCAGTCCCCGGGTGGACGGATGCTGGGGGCACAAAGCACCCACCGGGCAGGGGCTGCTCGGGCTGGGGCAGATGGGGCAGGGCAGCATTCTGCCTGTGGAGAGCTCTTGCACCACAAGCCCAGGGGCTCCCGCTTCCTCCCTCGCATGCCACCAGCACCCTGGCACGCGGTTCCCCAGCCCTCCTGCCTTGAGAAACCTTTTTGCCACACAGGCAGGGAGAAGAGCACAATGCCGGCTCCTCGGCTGCCCTCGCAGCTGCAGGTGCTGCCAGCCCCAGCAAGGCAGCAAGCCCAGGAGCACCCCAGCGTACACCCTGTTGAGAAGACAGCACACATCGAGCCCTGCTCTTTAATCTGACCAAGGGCGTTATCAATTGCCTAAATCCCCTCTTTGCTTTATCTGCGACCTTTGGTTTTCACAGTTCAAGCTGGGAAGCCCCCGCAGGGGCAGGGACATTGTTTGGGAATGCAGCGCCGGGCTTTTGTTAGTCTGTAGACAAAGGCCAGGGAAGAAAGGAGGTCACACTTCCTTCAATCTTCTTTCCTGAAGCCAGGGCGAGCATACAGAGGCAGCTCATGCGTACCTGACAGCAAAGGGAAGGTTTCCAAAGGCAGGGGGTGTTTAATTCTGCAGCCCAAGGAACGAGCCCTCCAGCTCCCTGGGAGTCCTGCCCGCCCAGCAACCAACACGCTTTTCCTGAAGTCACCCAGCATCCAGGGTTTGTTTGAGGGTTTTGGGTACAGAGCTACCGTACTGTTTATAACATGCTACACTTGAAGCACAGCATGTTGTGGATGCTCACTGCTGTCCTTGCGCCTCTGGTTGGGAAGCGGCTGCACCTGGCTCAGTAGCCTTGGCACAGCTCCGGGGACCACTCACCTCCGCGCCCTGCCCGGGAGGGAACGCAGCCCTGCTCCCCTACAATTTCTTTACAGATTTTTCAGTGATTAGATTGCAAGATAAGGCAGAGATTTCAAATACATCCAAGATATTTTTTACACCTGTCTTGTTACAGAATATCTGAAGTGCATGATTTCTACACGCATTGACTACCTGGAACCAGACCCTGAGGAAGCAGGCTGGCTTGGTAACTGTCTTACAGTTTGGTAACATTCATACAGTGGATAAGCAAAGATTATCAATAAACAGTTGTGCTGAAAACAGAACGCGCTCTGCCTGCTGGTGTAACTATTCCAGGGTCAAGCAAAACACTGAGGGGTTGGGTTGCGCTTACCCCAGGGGCTCAGTCAGGTGCTGGTGGGGAGAAACACACTGGAAAAGCAGGAGCTCCAGGGTGGGAGGAGGAGATGGGCCCAAGGCTGAGTTTGCAAGTGATACAGCGAGCGAGGGTATTGCCCTAAAATACCCAGCCCCGTGGCACTCCTGTCCTGACTAGTTACAGCCTCCCTGGCCCGGATTTCACCCGCAGCCCACGCTGCCAAGGAGCACAGGGAGTATCTGCTTTGGATCTCCCTGCATCTACCATACCCCTTTGGTCCAGGAACTGCAGAGCCAGTGGACAGCCTGCAGGTTACAGCAGTGCTGCCCGTGCCCAGGGCAGCAGAGGCTG